GTGTCCCTGCTTTCCACATGCTCTACAGATAGCGGAGCGGAATCTACAGTCGGTCCTCTTGTGGCGACCTCCACAACCGAGGCACTTGGGGAGAGCTGAAGAGCTTCCTTTCTGTTTCCCTTCTTTTGTGGGGTAGAGACGGTCTCCTTCATCGTCAGGATCCTCCTCTGGGTTTCTTTGGGCTCCTGGAGTGCCTCTGGAGTGCTTCTGATCGGCCTCATGTTCTTGATGGCGCTGCCCGCTGCCTCTTCTGCAATAACCTCTCTCAAGGCATCTTGGAATGATAAGTCTTCTTTAGCAAAAAGTCTCTGCTGTAGTTCTCTATGCCTCAGTCCACATACAAATCTGTCTCTCAGCCGTTCTTCTAGGTCCTTGAACTCGCAGTGTTTAGCGGCTTTTCTCAGCGCAGCAATGTATTCTTTGGCTGATTCTCTGGGTCGCTGATCCCTCTGTTCAAAGGTGTGGCACCAAACGATGATGGAGGCTTGGGCTGAAAGTGTTCCTTGAGTAGTTTTTTGAGATCTGTGTAGTTAACAGATTCTAGAGGTACAGGTGCTGCTATGTTTTCAGTGATTTCGAATGCGTCTTGACCGCAAACGCACAGCAGGGTGGCGGCCTTCAAACTATCTTCTCTTACTTGGTTGACTTTAAGATAGTTTTCCACCCTGGCTATGTAAGACTCCTATCTTTCCGGATGCGAGACGTTGAATTCTGAAAGTCTTCCTATTTTTGCCATTTTTGTAGAAAAGGAAGGGTCTATCAGCCAGCCTACCCCTGATGCTCGCTGGATTGGCGGGCAGCTGCCGAGTCAATGCCGTTCCTACTGCTCAGGACTCTCTCGGGTAAGCTTACACCTGTCTTCAGTCGATGTAAGGCAATCCCACCTTCGTCGCCAGTGTTGCGTCCTTCGCGAAATGGCAATAACACGAGAAGCAGTTGTAGTTCTCAGGAACTTCTTTATTTCTGTTCAGCATACTGGTTACAAGACGCCGACAACGCCCAAATCTCCCAGCCTCTTTTATAGGCCATTCCCAGGCCAATCTGCAACATTTGGCACGCCAGCACCCGCGCATGCACGCACGTGTTGGCGACAGCCAGTCTGGTCCCGGGCAGCTTGCACCTGCCCAGAACCGTTGCAATGCCCTGAGCCTGCTTCCACAGGCTCAGGACATAACATTAACAAAAATTCAATGTGAAGCAACTGAAGTGGAATTCAATTTCATTAAAGTATAGTCATTGTGAAAAGTGAGCTCTCCACACCCTAAAAGAATATATACACTTTATTGGCTTGGTGTAGATTTGTATTCTGTATGCTCTAGTAAATATTCTGTATGCAACAACATCAGATCTGGACCATGAAAGTTGAACACATTCATTTGTTATGGTGGCTTAGGGATTATGTTACTTTTGCTGCTACATATGTCAGTCTGAATTTCTCTTGTTCTAATTAATTGGAAGCAGTACTAGTGATGAGTCTGCTTATAGGTACAGAAGCCTTGTTCTTTACAAATCATATTATGTGATAAACTACTATCTACCTGAAAAGGTTGTGTTCTTCTCTTCACTGTTTTTATTCAAGTAATGGCTGGAGAGTTATCTGACATGGATTCTTGTCCTTGGATTTCTGCACTGAACAGCTGGCTGGACTCAGTGGCCTTAATTATTCCTTCCAACATCATACATCTCATTGTCTAACCAGTCTGCGTTTCCCATCCAAAGACATATACTGACTACTGAAACTTTATGCCTTGAAAAACTGCCAAAGTACTGCCAAGGTAGTAACAAATTACAGCATTGTCTTTCAATTCCAAGTCCCACTGCATCCTGACCAACTAGCTTAGCAAAAGAAGGAAGTAATTTGGTTATTGCTTTGCTATGTGTTCACTTGCTACAATAAACCCCAAATAGCGTGTAATCCCATTTCAAGGGAATGTGTCTCTCGCATAGTGAACTCTTCAATTTTCATTATAAAAATACATTATTTCAAATACCTATTAAAACTATAATCTTAATAGTGCTGTCATTTTTTTCCTTCAAGCATAATTAATTACATTAATTGCTGAATGCCTGAAGTGAATTGTCATTTTCTTTTAAATGCAATGATTCGTTCAAATCTGGAAGAAAAATGAGGGAAGAACAGTATCATGATTACAAGCATCTGATTTTAAAACAGAATTATTTTATTCACAATTTAAAATAGCATTGTTTATACTCTCCAACATTTGTGTTCAAACCATCCCTTAGGAAGATTATAAACCTTTAAGAATTCATTCTTCTGTATAAAGAAGAAAAGTCACTAATGCATAAGAAAGAAATTCCACTTAGAATCATAGAATCATCAGACTGGAAAGACCTTGGAGGTCTTCTTGTCCAACCCCCTGCCCAAGGCAGGCTGAGTCCTTATACCATCCCAGACAAATGGTTGTCCAATTTTTCTTGAAAACCTCCAGCAATGGAGCACATACAATTCTGAGAGGCAAGCTGTTCCACGATTAATAATTCTCACTGTCAGGAAATTCCTCCTTATTTCCAAGTTGGAAAGCTTCTACCCATTGCTTCTTATCCTGCTTGACAAGCTTCTACCCATTGTTTTTATCCTGCCCTCAAATCTATGGAGAATAAATGGATCCTCTTTCCCTGTGACAGCCCTTCAAATATTGGAAAACTGCTATCAGCTCTTCTCTAAATGGACAAGAGCTAGTATATTTTTAGAAATATTTCTGAGTCAGTTTAACTTCCAGAATTCTCTGCAAGACATAGCACTTTATCTAAGCCTTCCCTGCTTATCACCCAATAGACTACATCCAACATAAATGCTTTAGCTGACAAAAAAGAAGATATCTTTCATCCCTACCTAACACCTCCAGTAGCACTTTGAACTGGTGCTGCTCTATAAGTGCTCCCTTGGCATTCCCTAAGCTGCTTTCATCCATTTTGTAAATGCTGTTACAGACAACTGAGCTTATCTTTCTGCCATAGGTAAAAATCTAAAGAAAAAAGTCAAGTCTCATTTTTTTCCCAGTTCAATTTTATGAACATGACCATTAGTTTTCTTGGCAAGAATACAGAAGTATCTTTTCAAAAACTCTAAAAGTCAAAAAGCCTGTATAGGTAGTCCTCAACTTATAACAGTTCATTTAGTGACCATTTAAAGTTACAATGGCAGTGAAAAAAGTGACTTATGACCATTTTTACACTTATGACTATTGCAACATCACCACAGTCACATGATCAAAATTCAAACTGTTGGTAACTGACTCATATTTATGACAGTTGCAGTGTCCTGGGGTCATGTGATCACATTTTGTGACCTTCTGACAAGCAAAGTCAATGGAGAAGCCAGATTCACTTAACAACATTGACATTAACAATTGCAGTGATTCATTTAACAACTGTGGCAAGAAAGGTTGTAAAATGGGGCAAAATTTACTTAACAAATATCTCATTTAACAACAGAAATTTTGGGCTCAATTGTGGTCATAAGTCAAGAACAACCTGTATTGTAATTTCTCCTGGTAATTTTTATAACACTAGATCATCCAAATTTCTAGTATAAATATTTCTATTACATTAAAGTACTTAGTTCATAGCATTTTTGTTTTAATTGAACATCTTTTATATAATTGTAACTTGCTATTTAAGGACTGTTATCCTAGCGGCAATTGTACTGCCTGACTTTATTTTCATATTAGATATACTTCATTCCTCATCTAAAATACTTTGGTCTGCAGTGTAAAAACCACAATGGAGAATGTCTGCTTACAGATTGCTAGTTGCAGCAAACAGCGGAAGCTTTTCAGTGACATGCACAAAGATCCACGGAGACTCAGCTGAAAGCATTCAACTCAATTTCTTCCTTTGACCCAAACCACTTTGGAAAATCATGTTTCCAGATGTGAAAGGCTCAGCACATTAACCTTGCTGCAAACCCCCAACCTTCTACCATCTGCTTTTATAGCAGAGGCATTTCAATGAGAGACTAAAATTCGACACAATACGCAAGATCATATTCCATTTTCAAAGGTGTATCAACTGAACCTTTAAAAAAAAACTGCAGGTAGGAAATAAGGTCGAATTTTACTATTCATATTTAATCTCTTCTTGCCAGAACATAGGAATTAAACGATGAGTAACATGCAAGAGATTCTAGTCTTCATTTTGGTTTCCTGATTAAAATCACTAATTGCAATTAATTATAGCAATCAAACTAATATGGAGGTTTTTGATTTTCACATGGCTACATTCCACAGAGAAAGAAAAACGGAGATGACATAAATCCAGATGAATACTATTTTATTATCATAATGCTAAATCATAGCATTTTAAGAACTTGGACTCCAGATTTCCGAACTCTGAAAGAATGCATCCCAACTGATACAAAGGATATATAATGTCTATCCTCCATTCTCCAGAATTCCTACTACAATGAAAAAAAACAACAACAACAACCCTGCTATATCTGATCAATGGGATTGAATCATATCTAGAAATTCAGGCAGAGCGAAGACTATATCCAGCCAGACCAGATTTGCAATGGACTTCGTTATGTATGAAGTAATTACACTTCAACCTCAAATTTGTGAAGACATACCAGTTTGAGACAATATTTGCTCTTAAGATTTGTGACATTAATTATATCTCAGCTCTGCTGTAGATATGTTTGCATTGACATACCACTATAAATTATTTTCATTTCATAACTAGGATTTCTTTATATATCTACTATTATGCCATCAATTACAAGCAAAAGGAAAAAGCATGAATTTTATTTGGTACAAGCAGCAAAGTATTTGAGTTAAGAAGTTGTAAGACACTGGTAATTCAAATCCCTCTTCTACAATATTCCTCACAGGTGAAACCAATGCAGAATTTGTTCACCTAAACACTAATCCTTGTTGACAAGTGACAACATTCCATAATAATTAACAGTCCAAAAAGTAATGATAAAATCCATCATAGGGATAGAAGGAGTATAGCTTGAGGCATCCATTCTGTCTTACCTCATAGAGGGTAATTATTCCATTGGTTTCATTTGGTTGTTTCCACTGAACATAGATCTTCTCTTCAAAGGGTCCTCCCTGAATAGATTCAAGGGGAACAGTTCCAGGAACTAAAAATACAATAAAAATGTTGTAAATCCTAATATTTCATTTTTTCTCTATAACCTAACATCACATTATATTACAATCAATATTCACTCAGATTTCTGATAAAAATTGTACAATTTTTTCCAAACCATGTACAAATGTGTGTGCTATAATAATATGAGTGAATTGTAAATAACAGATACTCCTCCCTTAACAATAGTAATTGAGACCTTAATTTCCATTGGTGACACAATCATAAAGTACAATGTCATGTAACTATATCACTTGGTGACAGAAATTCTAGTACTGCCTGTTGCCTCTGTTAAATGAACACCATGGGTCCTTAAACATGCATCTAATATGGTCACTATTGGTAACCTTCTGTCAGTTCTTCCATTGCTTGTAGGAAAGCATGAAAGAAGATTGCAAATGGCAATTATGTAACCACAGAGACACTGAAACTGAACTAAGAGTGAGGATTGGTCATAATTACCATTCATTCAGCACCATTGCAAGTTTGAATGGTTATTGAATGAGTGGTCATTAAACAAGGACCACCTGTATGTGCAATAGTGACATGTTAAAATAACAGTATTTGGTTTTGCTTGGGTTCCATTAACTAGGTCATTGGTCCCCAACCTTTTCAGCTTTGTGAACCAGTGGTGGTGGCAGGGGAGGAGAGGGGATGGTTCCATGCATGCAGCGGGCAAGCATGCTCAAGCATACAGCTCCATTTGTGCTTGCAGTAGGCATACACGCCTGCCTATTGCACAAATGGAGTTTTACACACTAACATGCACACCCATCACTTAGATGAGTAGAGCCACATGCATGCTCGTGCGCCGCTTGCACACCCTGGGGGGGGACCCCTAAACTAGATTACTCATTTTAATAAAGAGATAGCTCCTCTCTGATGGAGAAGGGCAGTTTAGAAATATGAAACATAAATAAATATGTTTAATTAACATATAGATCTTTAATTCCTTTCCTTCTCTTGAACCCTTACCCTTCTGGAAGAATGACCTATTAAATAAATAACCAGTAAATAACACTAAGGAATAACTACTTCCATTCAGATGCCTGGTTAGCACATTGTCTATTAATTTGAAATTACTGCATTTTTTTTAACTTTGACATGCCTTTGAAAATAAATTAATTAATTCTTAAGCAGAATTTAAGCAAACTCACCTGAAACATTTTGACATGTATTTAGAGAAGACAACTAAAATCTTCCAACATGTATAGTTACTGATTTTGTTAAGATGTAATCAGAACTAATCCTCCCAAAAGCAAAATGGGAAGTTTCATTATGTTCACTATTAGCTATAATTTTAGCCTGCAACAATTTTTAGAGGTTTATTTTCCCAATATTAAACTGCAGTCTATGTTTGGAATGGTGAAACATATGGGTTGAATTTCTATCTACCAGTAAAATCTTACTTTAAGCCTTTTTAAATTCCCTTTCCTCCCCAAACAATTTAAATAGTGAGAACTTTTTTCTTACCATCCTCTTCTGTCTGCACCACCAATTCTTCACTCTCCATCTTTCCCTCTGGATTTGAAAGAGCCAACCGCAATCGGATGGTCATGAAGGGGCGTAATCCTCGCAACGTGTAATGTGATGATGTCTGAATTAGTTCCTCTGCTTCATATTTCTGCTGGTTGAATAGGTACTGGTAATGAACTGTCAAGTTATAGCTGTGACAACGAGTCACAGCATAACCAAAAGGTTCCCATTGCAAAGTCAACTGACGTGATCGGATGTCTACAACCTCTACATTCTGAGGACCATGGACTGGATCTGTGGAGGAAAATGTGTAATGCTTTAGTTGATGATAAATGAAAGCATCTGATGGATTTGAATGTGAACATTGGGCAGAGAAACTTGCCAGCTTCAGTTGGTATATCTATCTGGAACGAATGTCTTAGACAAGTGCAACCAGGGCTTTTTTTGTCATGGAACACCCTAACGGAGTTCCAGCACCTTTTTTTGGATGGAACCTTGTAGGGTAGGCAAGGCGGGTTGTATGACATGTATGAGTTCCAGCACTTTTTTTTTTTTTTACAAAAAAAGCACTGAGTGCAACACTTAACACCTCAAAGCTATAACATTGCAAAGTGCTTTACATAGGGCTGCTTTGAAGATTGCTAAGAAACCATTTGATATAGAATGTGAGAGTCCATTTGATCAAATTTAAGAGCTATTGTATACTTATAACAACACATTAGCAAGCACTGCATTGTCTGTTGATAGATTTCTGACAACAATTCAAAATGCTGGTTTTAAAGCTTTTTATGCTTTGGATCTTAAAAATTTTCTACTTCAAACAGAACTTTATTATGTTTTCATTGTACAAAAGGATAATTAAGGTACCTCCATCTTAGAGGCTCAGGAAGACAAAGGGATTTTTCTTCACTATAGCGTCTGTTCTTATGAATAGCCTCCCCAAACCCCAAGTCTGGTTGGTGGCCATTTTGATGAGTTTTTGAAAAATCAGGAAAAATATGTTCTGTATTTGATATTTAATTTGTTCCCATTCGATTGGGTGTCAATGGATATTACTAAATGTATTATTTATGCTTATAATTGTTTTGTAAGAACTACTTTGGTTTACAAATTCATACATTTATTTATATGATTTACATAGCCACTCATCCCACACAATAGATACTGGCTTGCATGATTAAAACAATACATTTCTTATATGTAAAACATTAGTAGTTATGTCTGGAGTATAACATGTTTTTTTTTCCTTAAAAAAAAACCTGATTGAATTGGTTGCATGCAATTGTTGTGTAAAATTCAACCCAATAATTTCATGTCTTCATCTATATGTCCCTTCCCTGAGGGAACCAAGGGAAAGGTATCACCAAAACACACTAAGAGTAATCTGAAAATTATTGAGCTACATCTCACATGAAAATACAACCAGCAACCACAGTTCTTCTCACATGCAAAGCTGTTTATGGAATGAACTTCTGCATTAGCAAAATAAATTCATTAATTGGTAAACTTCAGTTTTATGCTGTTTGTTGCGATTTCTCATCCCACCCACCCTCCATCCACCCCAATCCAATCTTAATATTACCAAAAAGAAGCCTGTCCTACATTCATAATCTTTTGCCATCTCTGCATCCTTTACTAAAAGAACCATGCTTCTTTATTCACCCCATTTCTCTTTTAAAAGAAATACAGCTTTGCTTAAATCAGATATTCAAAGTAAATAAATATTCTAGTCAAATGCTCATTATTCACTATTCCCATTCATGCCTAGAGCTTCAAATGTCTAATGACACACTTTTTAAAAAAACAAAAAACTTATGTCTCTTTTTCAGCCACCCCTCCACGCCATCTATCAGATTGTTTCCCCAGATCATACTAATTATTGAACATCAATACTATCACTAACCTATAAAGTCGATTCAAAACAACCTGTGATACCAGTTCATATTTTCTGACATGCATTTTACCTCTTTCATTCATAATTAAACCAACACTTTTATTTCCATACAAGTATTTGTAAACTACTTTATATTCCACAAGATTGCATCTTTTTCATTCTAACCTATTACATCTTTCCCTTTTCTCATTTCACACAGTAGAGCTTCATATCTTTCATTTCATCCTTTCTTTCATGTCTTTACCATTTGCATTCCATATATTTCTGCTACAAAGTGTGCAGTAAACTGTTAAACCCATAGATATTTACCATTGCTGCCATCACAGCATTAGTCAATCAAAGTGTTCATAAGCTGTTTAGTGAGACAGAAAAAAATTGCCTAGGTTAATAACCTTAATTCCACCCGTACAATAAAGGCAATTCAAGTCAGTTTTGGCACAGCTTGCCTGGTATACCAGAAGTGAAAACATAACCCATTTTTATTCCAAGCATTTCAAATTCAGCAATCATTTTAAAAGCCAACATACTGTTGCTGGCACCTCACCAAGTACGAGGTAGATGCAGTATACTGACATACATTCAGGAAACAAAACAAAAACTATCCTGCTTAATTTGCTTATAAATAAGGAATAGATCCTTTGAACAACTGCTGCACTGTATAGAATTGATGCCTTCTCTTTTAATTAAACCTATTTATTTTAAATGTGTAATTTTTTTTAACAAAAATGATTCAATAGTCTAAACATTTAAAATAACTATTTCTCACATGGAGGAAAAGCAGCTTGTGTTGGTGGGACCAGTTAAAGAAATACAAAAGTTATTCTTTATTTTCAAGATATACAGCAAGGACTTTAAAGTTTCATTCTGATTAGATTTATACCTGCATTCATCTATGGTTTGTCAGACCATGGTTTGCTGAATAAACTACAATTGTTTTGTTACACAGAGTATATCCATAACACAAGTTTACATTCTGTAACACTAGGTTTACAAAATTCCTTATGCCCAAATTACACAAAGTGCAATATCATGGTAGTAACAAATTACCAGATATGAGTTAGTAATCAGAATATAAAATATGCATTCTGTGCTAACCAGAAATGTTGACTATTTCAGGTTTTCTTGCTATATGTGCTATAGATAATCTTAAACTTTAGAGTCACGTCAGATAGAAGAAAAAATAGCAGTGCATTAACAAGGTAGAGTTGTTTAACATCTTTTCTAAGTTTGTTATTCAGTTGTTAGATGGCTTTCAACCAGAGTAGCACATGTTTTCTAAATCTGTCACCTGCAATGAATCATCCTTGATCAATGAAAATGGCTTATCCATGCACCCAAGCTTTAGGAATTAAAAATCTTGATTTGTTTGAAATAAGGTTCAACATTTTCAGTTTCATTCTGAGTATCTGTTCAAATGTAACTAAATAATATTAAATCCACATGCTTCAGTTAAACTACGTTTTTCCAACCCCATAATTCTCATAATACTGAAGAAAGCACAAATGCTTATGTATATAAAGCAATTAATCAAAGAGGGATTCTTAGCATGAAGTTTTTAGAAATAAAAAATGGTAAGTGCAAAAATCAATTTTTTCCCCTAGCTGACATTATCAGTTGCTTCCTGCCTTACCTTTTTTTTCTGATTTTTTTTTCTTTACAGAGTAAGAAAAATGATTATTTTGGCAAGTAACAGGAAATTAAAAGTATATTTTTTTCTGTATAAGAATAACGTCTTAAAGAACATGTACAGAAACCTGTCACCCCTCAGTGTGAGAGTGTGTGTGTACAGTTTAAATAGTCTGTGTCACTTACTTCCGGAACAAGATTCAATCACGATGCCTAGATTATTTGGATAGGGAATGCATGGTACCATGGCATTTATAATGTATAATCATCTGAAACCAATGTAATCAATGTGAATAGATCCACTAGAAACTGTGCTAATAATCTTTTTCTTCCAGATCCTTGTAGATGGAGACCTAACTAATAAAAACAAACCTGGACTCTTTAAAGATGTACAGAACCTATTGAAGTTCCTTCTACCATCCCTTGAGCATTCAGAGTCAGAGACTGAAAACAAAAGGAAACTCTTTGGATGCTCAGCAGTCAAGAATTCAAAGTAACATTCAAAATAAAATGTCTCACCAAGGAACTCTTCTGGAAGTGGCAGTTTGAGCATTGTTCTCACATCATCAGTCTCAATAAGCCTTCCAACCTCAGCTGTGAGTATATAAGCAACTCCTTATTGATGGAGTTTCTGCCTCTGTTCTTTTCCCCTGACAAAAGGGTTTCCAGCTTGAGGAACCCATCTCCTTTCTCTGCTTGGACCAGGCAGTTTAGAAAGGGGGGTTGTTTATACAGGCCTGATAAGAGTTATCCAGCAGGTTCTTTCTCTGCAGGCTTCTTTTTTGTTGTCCTTTGCATTTGCCATCTCCCTCAACAGTCTTCTCTAACCTCATACTGCTTCTTCATCAGAGCAGACTTTATGCACAGCAGGCACAAAGTCTGTAAATATATTTATTCTGTTGCTGTGTGTGAGGGAGTGAAGCTGGGCTTGCTCTCTGCTCTTTTCAAAAGTAGCTGCAGTCATGCAGACAAGCTCCCCCCTCCCTCCCTCCTTCAGGCATTCACCCATTGTGTCAGAACTCTACTAACAGGCATCCAAGCTGGTGCTGTGGCTGCCTGTGATAAATGAGCCACATCCTCATGTTTCCAAGGACGTGCTGGTCCAAAGGCAGCCTCATTCCACCCTGCCTTTTGAGCTTACAAAAACAAATACTAAGGGGAAGGGGAGGGTGTAGCAGCAAAGGTGATAAGCAAAGAGCACACAGACGGCAAGCAGAAGCGACATCTGAAGATTGGCAGGCAAGAGAACTTTCATTCAACTGCCAGGATCACAAGCTACAGTGAGCAGCATATCCTGGTGGGAATCTTTCCTAAAGCTTGGAGCTTTGCCTGGAGCTCGGCATCAACCAGAAGAAGAATAACCACATTCCAAATAGTATAAGAACTTTGGAAAAAGGCAATGTATGCTACTTTATAAACTTTGAGACTTTTGTTCAAACTGAGCATTAAGACACTGAATATAAAGTACTGAGTATTAAAGACATATTAATGTAACAATGTCATCTTGCAAAGTCCTAGCAGGGCAGAACTGAACCAATGTAATAGCCTGTTGTTGGAGAAAGATTGTAGTACAATAAAATATTATGTATATATTTGCTGAGTTGTCTCTCCTTAGAGAGCCAAGAACCTTCACACTGTGATTTTCTCACAAGGAAGCCCTTGTTTTCCCTTCATCACAGATACAACAATATATTTATTGTATAAATAGTATAGAGTTTAAAACTTCCAACTCCCTTATCTCACACTTGATTCTTGGTGACTATATGGATATATA